GGGAAAGGGGAGGCGGGGAGGAGGCGGAAATCTTTTTTTTTTCAATAAAAAAATTATATAAAAAAAAGATGTGGAATGTAATGAGAATAATAAATAAATTAAAAAAAACTGGCTTGCTTTGCTTTAGGACATATAAGTGAGATAGATGAGTAATGTTTTATATAGAAAACAAATACTTTAATCTACTTACAAATTTTTGAATCCTTGGTGTTTTTTGTAAGCATATAGTTTGGAAATAAAGGGTCCTCCATCATGTTAAAGATTCACTTACTACTCCCACTTCCTGTACCATAATAAATTCTTATATACATTTTTCTGTATCACATTCCACTATTTATCATGCTAGTTATATACTGTGATTTTTTTAAAAAAAAATTTATTTTCCTGTTCTTTGTTTCCCAAATGGAAAACTAACTTCATAAAAATATGGATGACTCTAACCTATATGTTGCTCTTTCCACACATACAAAGTCCTGACACAGAAGCCTTTGTCAGTAAATGCCATAGAGAAGACAATAGGCCTAATAAATACATCAGTGAGGGGATAAAAGAGCATGACATTTAAGAGAGATCAACCTCCAATGACAAAACTAACAAATACAACAAATAGGTATCATTTCGTGTACTTTTATATCACCTGGTTTCTTCCGACATATTCCCCACAAAATTCAACATCAACATACCACATGTAAATAAACCACAAACACCTACTTATAAGGCTTTTCTTGAAATACTTCCAACAAATAAGTAGTTTAGTAAAGATCTGTAGGCAAAGGAAATTCTATGGGGGAAAGCACACTGGGAAAGAAAATCAGGAGTGCAATCTAGGCTGCATGGCTACTCACATCCACACACAGGAACACTGCTGTTCATTCCAGCTAAGACACAGTTACCAGTAAAGCTGCCTTTGTAGTCTTCCTGCATGTCCCCCGCCCTCCTGCCCAGCCCCCGACTTCTCCTCCATTTCTGTTCAGATAGGAGCAAGCCTCACAAGAGTATCAACAAAGCATGGCATATCAAATTGCAGTAAGCACTTTCCCTTGCATTCAGGCTGGGCAAGGCAATTCAGTATGAGGAATAGGTTCCTAAGAGGCAGCCAAAGCATTAGAGACAGCCCTGCTCCTATTATTAGGAGTTGCAGAAAACCAAGCTATACAACTGACACATTTGTAGAGAACCTAGGTTGTTCTAACCCATACAGGCTCCCTGGTTGTTGGCTCAGACTCTGAATTCCTGAGTTAGGTCACTTGTTTCTGTGGGTTTTCTTGTGATGACCTTGACCCCTCTGCACCCTACAATCCTTCTTCTGCCTCTTCACCAGGGTTCCTCAAGCTCAACCTATTGTTTGGCTGTGGATCTCTGCATCTGTTCCCATCAGTTACTGGATAAAGGCTCTCTGGTGACAACTGGCGTAGTCAACAATCTGATCATAGGAGATGGCCAGTATTGGGTAACTATCCACTATTGCTCGGATCATCCTTGTTTCAGCCTTTACCAGCAACTGGGGGAACAGTAGAGAAGAGTGCTGGCAGATCTTTATCCTCAAAGAAGCTTACATTCTTAGGGCATCTTTCGAAAATGCATTCCATGTATACTAAACACCTTAAAGGAATGAGATCTTCCCTTAATGACTCACTGATGTCAACCATCAGTCTCATTATTACAGGAGTTTCACAATGAGTGGGAAAAATCCAGGAAATATGTCAAAGAGTTCTAGTGCATGGTGGTAGAAGAGCCATTGGTCGAGCTGCTTCTGTGGACAGTTTCCTGGATAGCAAAGATTACAAACACACACACACACACACACACACACACACACACACACACACGGTATGTTCTGGAAAGCATCATAAGATGCTCAAGTAGATTTCTAGCTACTAAAAACTAGTTGATTTATTCATATTTTTCAAGCTTGAGGACAATTTTTTTTTTAGACTTTAAAAAGAAATCAGGAACATGCAAGCTGTAAATGTCAGCAGCTGCTTGGAAAAAGATGGAGATGCAAAGGGGGAAGAATAAATGAAAAAGAAAAAACCCTATGCTGTCTGAGTTAAGCAAGCATGGAAATCAGCCACAAGACAGACTTGCAGCCTCATGGTGAGGAGGGGAATTACACACAAAATGAGTACAAAACGTTAGGAAAGTGATAGAAAGAAATAGAAGAAAAGTCATGCTTTTCCAAGTAATTCAGAGAAGTAGGCAACTTATGAAGTGCACGTCTATGGCCTATTAGAGACTTAAAATTTACGGTTAAAAACAAAACCACTGGGACTGGAGAAATGACTCCATGATTATGAGCTCTGACTACTCTTCCACAGGACCTGGGTTTTATTCCCAACAATCTCGCAGTGGCTTAAAACCATCAGTGACTCCAAGATCTGTGAATCTGACACCCTTTTCTGGCCTCTATGGCAACGGGCATGCACACAATGCACAGACATACATGCATGCAAAACACCCATACACATCAAATAAATATTTTACAAGTGTTGGCAAACTTTTGGAAAATTTTTATAGAACAAGTATGAAGTAGGAGAAATAAGCAGTGATTTTGTACAAGAGCTTTTCTTTTTAATCTTATTATTACTTAATATTTCAGCATATTATATATGCTTACGTTGAGACTTTAAGAATGTTACCTTGCCTACTCAATCTGATGTGGTTTACCTAATTTTCCTCATCCTCATTTCCTCTGCTCTATTACGTATTATCTGATGTATTAATTCCATAGTATTCAATTTGTTTCTTGTTCATCTTCCTTCTTAAGTACATATAATATAGAGTCAGAAAATTAGCTCATCTTGATCACCATTATAATTCCAGTGCAGGTGAAAATAAAACACATAATTTTTGCTCAATAATTGATTAAGTGTACATTTGTTTTATATAGGCATACTACCAAATAAATATGAATAAGTGATTGCATATTGATGGCAGAACATAAAAGAAAAACACAAGGAAGCAAGAAGGGGAGGAAAGAGAAGAGAAACTTGTCAAAGTCTTTCTTGTCCTAGTAGCAAACTACACAGGAAATATCACACATCAACACAAAGTTCAGAATGATGGAAGCTAATCAAAGTTTCCAAAGCAAGGAGATAATAAAAACATAATTTTATTAAAGTAATCAAGTTTTGTCAGTAAGTCAGACTAGAATATAGAAGAAATACTGAAAGGGAGGGTTATGGGTTAAAATACAAGAAGTTAGGGAGAGCAACTACATTAAAGTATTGCTATATATACTCACGTTCACACATAGGAACACTGCTATTCCAAACACTTTCCTTTCCAGCCAGAATACAGTAACTAGCAGAATTGCCTTTTAATTGAAACCTAAGGAAGAAAATGGTAGTGTACTGTAAAATGATTTGGCCAGAGTAATACTCATTTTCCAGGTCTAGTCAAAAAAGCATCTGAGGATTTTGGGAAATGGAACCCGGAGGTGGAAAGGGTGTGTAGATGCTAAGCCACTTAACTACCGCAGGTAGTTTTACCACTTAGCAGGTAGGTAAAACAGAATTGCAAGGCAAAGAGACTTGTCATATAAAGTCCTAGCTTAAACTAAAGAAAGCAGTCAGGGCACAGCCAGACTCTGGACCCTTACTCAGCACTGATCATGCTAAAAGGAATCCAGTACTGCTCACTGTCACAACTGCAAACCCAGACTGCTAACACAACACCTTGCCAACTCTGGCACTGGGAAAGCTAAGTTAACTGGTAGGAAATAGAGATTGTTCTTACGTCTCAGTTTCTGCTATTATTGTCTAGGAAACTCACTATAGCATGCTGGGCTACTGAAGAATAAGTTACACTTATTTTCTCAGTAATTCAGAAAAACAGGCACCTGTTAGGTACCGGTCTTCTTTTGTTTGTTTTTGTTTCTGTTTATTGGTCTTTCCTTTTAAAACACTGGGACTGAAGAGAAAAATGGAAAGTGGAGAGGAGCCAACTTTTGTATAAAGCCATCCAAAATTCTCAAAGGATGTTTAAACCCTTATGTCTTCCTAATTCTTATTTGGTCCTAGTACTTGGTGCTACCAAGGATTCTGTGAAGCGCTGGAGAGCAGGTTCTTTGTTGTTGAGGATTGGTAGTTTGACAGAGGCAGGTCTGCTGTGAAGAATGTTTATGATCTCACCTGAAATATTAACATTGGATGCCATGCTCCCATGTCAGAGCCCACAGCCCATTGCTGGTCTAATGACACATGTGGGCTTTAAAACACTGCACCTTATTTTTTGTTTCTCTTATAAAGTCTATTAATAAAGCATTAAATTCTTCCCTAAAACATTGCTAAATACATTGTTAATTGTATAAGCTTTTGTATCATATAATTTCCCTCAAAATTACTAGCATTATTTTCTATTTAGAAAACGATTTTTTTCACTTAGTGCATTACCTGTATATTTAAAACCAGTAGATACACTTGTTTTTGAATCTGTCATTTAATAAACATCCCAGTTTTTCCTTCATATCTCCTTTTATGAATTCCACAAGTCACCAGTCTTTCCTATAAATAATAGCAGACATTCTCTTCCCCATACCAACCTTCCCATACTTCAGACAAGCTCAGACAGATTGGGCCTGCTCACACTTACCCTTTATTACAAACGAAGGACACTTTAGCCCCAATTTGAAGATTTAGTGGAAATAGTACATTCCCATTAGGAAGCTGTTCCAGGAAAGGACCACAAGGTTTCACTGGAGAAAAAAAGAGTCAAACAGAAATAACAGTGTGTGGAAAATAAAAACACAAGCCATAAATATCAATCCAGATGACAGTCTGGAGACCCACACATGAGGGAGCCACAGGACTCTAACGTGTAGCCTGGCGCATAGTGCTACAGCAGTTTCAGCTCTGGATAAAAACACCATCTTTGTTTGGGGTACACTGCTAGTGCTGGATTCCTAGAGGCAGGTGTCATGTTAAGGAAAAAAGTTTCATGAAGTGAAAAAAAATTCCCTCAGTGGTAAACTGGATCACACATGCCAAGAGGATCACAACTTTATGTGGGAAATAAAAGAAGAAAAAAAAGGAACAACTTTATTTATACATGACAAAATAAACAACCTTTCTGCCAAAAGTGACTATACAATGAAGACACTGTGACTATAACTAATAAATCTTGAATTTATTGTTTTCTCCCTACGATGTACACTAAGGTTATAACACTCCCAATATCTTTTTTGTTTTGTTTTTTAAGACAGGTTTTTTTTTTTTTTTTTTTTTTTTTTTTTTTTGTAGCCTTGACTGTTCTGAACTAGCTCTGTTGACCAGGCTAGCCTTGAACTTTACAATATTGGTCTAGAATAAATGACTTTCTTAACGATTTCCAAATATTTTTGATGTTATAATAACTGCTTTGAGGGCTCATCTCTCAAGAGTTTCCCTTGACTAATACATGAACTGTGATATTTAAAGAATAGGCTGGTTAAATTTCTATTGATTCTCAGTTTCATACTATATAATGCCTTTTGATTGTTATGGGTAAAACCATGAACACTACAACTTCTTTGCTCTAGGTCTCTAGTACAGTGGTTCTCAACCTTCCTAAAGCTGTGATCCTCGAATAGCAATTCCTCATATTCTGGTGACCCCCACTCAGAAATTTTTTTTAGTTGCTACTTCATAACTGTAATTTTGTTACTTTTACTGAATCATAATGTAAATATTTTTGGAGATAAGGTTAGCCAAGTGGGTACCAACACATAGATAGAAAACCACTGCTCCAGGGGCTCTAATTAAGTTCTGCCACTTGGAAGACATATATACCAAACTAAAGGACAAGAGATGTGATAGACACCTTTATGCATCCAGGGACAGCATCAGTTGAGGCAGCCTTGATGATCTCTCAAGTGAGCAGCAGTCAGCAATACTAATGACAGCAAGGACTGGCTCTATCCTGGAAGAATTAGCAGGGTCTGGCTGTGTCAGCCATGACAGAGGATGACAGTATCAACCAGAGTAGGGCCGGGTGTGTCAGCTCTATTCTTGAGTAACAGTAGTTCCCTGATCTTTGGCGACATTGTTTTCCTTTTACTCTTCCTGTCCTTCTAATATCTTTATAACCCATTATCACCTACAGGAAAGTCTTCATTCTTTGGGAGGATCTGCCAAATGGAAAGACCTGGATTTTAATCTTTGATCTGCAAGTTAGTATCTATATCGCCTCAGAAAACTATCTAACCCCTAAGCCTCAATATGGCAAAAATAATAACTACCCCATAGTTTCATTTTAGGAATTAAATATGCATGCATTTAATATGACTAGCCAAGGATCACTCATTACATATTAGTAAATATTAGGTATATGAATGACTGATAAGGGCTGGAGATGGCAATACATGAAAAGAACTTCTGTGTATGAGAATTCCCAGGATGTATCACATTCCTTGTTCATATTTAGCTCCTTCTCAATTTGAATGGATGTGTTGTAAGGGTGTACAAACACCACAAACACATGACCGTTCTTGATTTCACATTCCCTCCCAAGAAAATTTATTCATCCAACCTGTTCACCATAAGCCCTCTTCCAGAACTAACCTTTATGTCTGGTCCTCTAACACCCCATAGCATGGCAGGCTCCCGAAGCCCTGATCAGACTTACCCTGGAAGCAGCTTGGTAACTCTGGCTCCCATTTGTTTAGGTTTTGACACTGTACACTGCTGATTCCTTCCATGATAAAGCCAGGCTGACATCTAAACTCCACAGTATCTCTTAAGGAAAACAAGCTTCTGCTTTCAGACACCATGACTGCATTTTCAACATGGGGAGGTGTACATTTGCTGAGTTCAATGCACTGAGGAGGAGGGCCACTCCAGACTCCAACTTCACCATCACTGCTGGTACAGTGTATGGATGGTTCACCCACCAGATTAAAGAGCTTTTTCCCTCTATCACCAGTTTTGCAGCGATAGGTGACCACCATTCCATAATAAAAATCTTCTGTAGGAGCAACGAACTCTCCATTGGTAATGGCTTGGGGTGCTTCACAAGGAATTCCTGGGCAAAGAAAACAGATTTTATTTTATATAAATAGGGGAAATCCAATGAATCACAGAACTGAAGATACTTATACTCATTATATACGCAAATGTTCATTAAAAGCATTGAATATTTATTGACTTGTAGATGAGTTTTAAAATGTTGTTATTTAGGCACACATAACAACATGTGCACCTACTTTTTCCTATAAACTTTTCCTACTTTTTTCTTATAAAGTTACAAATACAATTGACCTCTTCATTTGAAATAGCTCTTTGATCATATTACAGAGTTTATATCAGCTTTCAGATTTTTCTTCTTTGTCTATAAATTTGTAAATCTGTTGTCAACTGAAAGGAAAACTTGAAAAAAAATATTAACAACAAAGTTTTTAGACTATAAGATGGAAAAAATGTCATAATACACAAAGATTTCTTGAACAGAAAAATCAGTAACTAGAAGGAGAAAATTAGAAAGTTAACAATATTAAAATGAAGAATTTCTATTTTCAAAAAGAAAAAAAAAGACAGGCCATAAACTAAAAGAAAACATACTCATTTTATTTATTGGAAAGTATGAAATTATGTACAAGAATTTCTATAAAATAAGTAAATAAACTAGTGAATAATGCACACCAGGTTTGAACAGTCATTCCACAAACATGAAGAGTTAGTATCAATGAAAATTCAAATCATTTTAGACATTTTGATCATTAGTATTATGCTATGGAAACAACAGAATGATCTGACTATCAAGATCATCACCATGTAACTATGGACGGTGTTACATGACTTATTTGTGAGACGAGATATCGGTCGGGTGGACAAAAATCTACAGTGAATTACTGTAAAGGAGGTTGCATTGTTTTATAGGTCTAGAAAAATTCACATGAACAGGAAATGATATTCTGCAGGACATAGCCTACTATCAAATATTCCAAAATTTCCTCCAGCTTTCCCCCAGAGACTTAGAGCTATTTAGTGGGCTTAGGTTATAGAAATTTTAGATAATTAAACAGTTAAAAGTACAGACACAGCTATAACTAGTTATACTGTGTTTTAATAGGAGAATACATGCAGTTTGAATTTTGATTCTTTTTTACATAAAATGTATATGTTTAAATGTTCCATATGTTGCTGTGGGATAATGCTTTTGTACGCTGTAAAAATTTGTTAATGGTAATGGTTTAATAAAACACTGATTGGCCAATAGCCAGGCAGAAAGTATAGGTGGGACAACCAGACTAGGGAAATTCTGGGAAAAGGAAGGTCCAGATGCAGTCACCACCCAGATGCAAAGGAAACAAGATGAGAATGTTGCACTGATAAAAGGTACCACACCACGTGGTTAAACAAAGACAAGAGTTATGAGTTAATTTAAGTTGTAAGAGGAGCTAGTTAATAATAAGCCTGGGCTAATAGGCCAAACAGATTATAATTGTTATAAGCCTCTGTGTGTTTCTTTAGGACTGAATGCCTGTAGGTCTGGGCAGGACAGAAACTTGGTTTACAATATGTGAAAGTGTAGGTTAGCCGACAGCTTCACTAACCTTGAAAAATATGGACAAAAATTTTATTAATTTGCCAAGCAGGATGATAGTTATATTAGAGATTGAAAAACAAACACAACTTAAAGTGAACTGAGTCAAAAATAAGATTGGAAGACTTTTTACATTTACACATTCTACAGTTAGAAAAGGAACATCCAGGACCAAGGAGAACTTAAAGAATGTTGTAGTTCAAGAATGTTGTAGTTGTCTTCTGTCTTAGAGTTACTATTGCTGTGATGAGAAAACATAACCAAAAGCAACTTGAGGAGGAAAGAGTTTATTTGGCTTACATCCTAAAACACATTCTACTGAGAGAAGCTAAGGCAGGAACTCTAATCAGGAAGAAACCTGAAGGCACAAGCTGATGCAGAGGTCATGGAAGCTTACGTTCCTCATGGCTTGCTCAGCCAGCTTTTTAATAGAACCCAGGACCACGAGCCCAGGACTGACACTACCCACAATGGACTAGGCTCTCCCACAGAGATCACTAAATAAGAAATGCCTTACAGGCTTACGGAGGAATTTCTCAACCAATAATTCTTATTTTTAATATGACTCTAGCTTATGTCAAGTTGAGACAAAACAAGCCAGAACATCATTTTCTTGAAAAACAGATTATACAAGAGGAATTTTAATAACAATTTTTAAAATCCCTTATAGGGCTTTATGTTTACATCTGTGATAGAGTACTTCCTAACAGGCATAAGGCCCTGGGTTCAATCTTAGATCTGCAAAAATTGTATAATTCCAGAGAAAATTTAAAGTACATAAGTAAAGGTGATAGAAATAAAAATTTCAACTTACTGTCACAAATAGGTGCTTCATTATCCCAAATGAGACCGTTATCTGAGATTATGCACACAGCTGTATTGGAACCAATGAGGCGGTATCTATACACAGAGCAAAGAATGTTAATTAATTCATAAGTAATTGCCTGCTAAATTGCTGCTTCCCAGAGATTACTACCTTGAAAGCTTCAGGGCATTTTTTCTTTTCTTGTCAAAGACCATGAGTTCTGAAATCATACATCCTTCTTTGGACTTTTTGATTTTCTTCTTAATGCCTTCCTAACTAAATGAGATTTTTCTTTTTATTATGTTATCACGCAATCTGCAATAAATTATAATTGTTTCCTATAAATCATATTTTTAAAGACATTACAAGCTTCTTGAAGGCAAGAGAAATGTCATGTGTATATGTATATAATACTAATATGAAAGAATTAATTTATACCTAGAAAAAGTAATGTGAATGCCTGGATAAGGTTATGCCTTATCAGCAAGATTCATTAATGTAGAACCTAGAACTCAAATCTGACCAAAGTTGAACAAAAACAGATTAAAGTCAGGAATACTCAATTAATATGCTGTAAATTGTCTAGTATGTCATAAAATTAAAACAAGTCATGACACTTATTTCACAGCAACTTAACTCTTATAGCTATTATGTTAGATTTATTAAAAAAAAACAAGTCATTTTAGGAAGTGCAACTGTAAAGGATTGTGTTTTAAATTTCACTTGCTCCTTTTCCTCTGTGAAAGAAACTTTTTTTTTCCTTTTTCTTTTTTTCTTTCCTCTTTCCTTTTTGTTTGTTTGAGACACGATTTCTCTGTTTCTTTTTGACTGTCCTGGAACTCACTCTGTAGTCCAGGCTGGCCTTGAACTCAGAGATCCGAATGCTGGGGAAAAGTCACGTGCCACCAGCAACCAGTGGAAAAGAGGATACAATTTTACATGTAAGCTTGTGTATTTTCTACCAGAGAAAGAACTAAAATTGACACAAGATCTCTTGTTCTGTCTAGTTACTGTGACGCTCACTTTTCATCTTCCCATTCCCGATTTTCCTAGCATATTCTTATTGCTGGTGACTACTTCTATAATTATATAATTTATAAAAGTTATATAAAGAATCATATAGAATGTAACCATATATGATTAGCTTTCTACTCAGCATAATAACTGGAGGTTTATCAAGCAATCCTTTCTGTTATAAGTTAGAGTTCACAGCATGGATGTACCACCACTCACTTAACCACTTACCTACTGATGGATATTCAAGTAAGTCCAAAATCAGGGAGATCCATAGAGAGAGATAGGATAGAGAAAGCTTTCCTTTGAGAATGATAAAAATGCTTTTGTGCTCCCAATCTTAAAGAAAAGACTGCTTTTCACCACTGTGAACAATGTTAGTTGTAGGCTTGTCATATGTGGAAAATATATGTAGAATCTCTAATCCTTTTAGGAATAACTTTTTTTTAAATATTTATTTATTTATTATGCATACAATATTCTCTCTGTGTGCATGTCTGCAGGCCAGAAGAGGGCACCAGACCTCTTTACAGATGGTTGTGAGCCACCATGTGGTTGCTGGGAATTGAACTCAGGACCTTTGGAAGAACAGGCAATGCTCTTAACCACTGAGCCATCTCTCCAGCCCCCAGGAATAACTTTTAAAGAGCTTTTCTAACAATGGAAAATTTGAATTTCAAATGCCTTTTCTTCTAGTAATGGCTATGTTTTTACACCTCATTCTGTCAGTGCAATATATCACATTTTATTTGTACATTGTCAAGTTTTCATTACAGGTATAAATCCCACTTAATTATGACGTAGACAGTGGGTATGTTGTATGAGTGTACATGGGGTCTGTGACAGTGCTGAGGGGATATTTCATTTGTATAAACAAAGCCTGCCGAAGTTCAGAGAGTAAAACAGCCACACTGATCAGCCTTACAAACGAGACAGTCGTGGCACACACCTTTAACATCAGTAGCCACACTAGTTTGTCATAGAAACTGGGCGATAGTGGTGCATGCCTCACTTACAGTCTCATTCTGAGATTCCTGGAGGCAGAATTGCCGTTTTGGACTGAGGTAGAGGTAAGAGCCAGTGACTGTTTGTTTTGCTTTTCTGACCTTCAAGTTGAACTCCAATTTCTGTCTCTGGGTTTTTATTAATTTTGCTATATAGTGTACTCTAAGTGTGCACAAGGAACTCAGAGCAAGATGCCAGGCATCTTCCTGTATCACTCTTAGTCCACTGCCTTGAGAAAAAAATCTCTGTCACTGGACAGAAAACTCACTCTTTTAGCTAGGCTATCTGGCCACCAAGCTCTTAGGATCTGTCTGTCTCTCATTCTCCCAGTGCTGGGATTACAGGCACATGGAGCCATGGCTGGGTTTTTACATGGATGTTGAAGCTTCATCTCATTAGCCCCAATGTATGCACTTATAAATTCTGTCTGCCTGCTAGTAATTTGTAGACAATGTTTATAACATGTTTATTAAGGATATTGTCCAGTAATTTCCTTCTGTTGTCATGTCTGGCTTTGGTATTAGCATAGTACTAGCCTCATAAAATAAATTAGAATTCAGTGATGAGAACATTAGGCCCTAAGGCTTCTTTGTTGGAAGGTTGTATGTAGTAAGTAAACGGAATTTATCTAAGAATTTATGTTTTGCCTCTTCAGCTACATTGAACTATATGGTTTTGCTCTCAAACATGTACCTGCAATGCTAACTCACAGCCATCACAGTTTCTTCAACTTCTTTTTCACAGTTTGGTTCAGGATTTATCAATGCAAAAACTGTGTGTTTAGTCTGCACCATACCAACCCAGTGAGTGTTTTACTTCCTATGTATGTTGCCATAGTTAGGAACATCCCCAAAGGCTCATAGTTTAAAGGCTTAGCCTCCCAGGCTATGATCTTATTGGGCTGTTGTAGAATCTTTAAGAAGTGGGCATTAAGAGACAAACTTAGCTCACCAGCTATATGCCTCTGGAGAAGATACTGAGATCTTAGCCTCAAAGCCTTTCTTTTCTTCATGGCAACCATGAGGTGAAAGGTTTACCATGTCCCTGCTGTAATGGACCATGCCACCTTAGATCGAAGCAAGAGAGTTAAGTGAACATGAACTGAACTGAGATTTCTATAACTATGAATTAAAGCATAACTTTCTTCCTTTTAACTATCTCAATTATTTTGTTATAGTAATGGAAAGCTGACTAACGTGTGCTGTCTTGATTATTCAGCAGGGATAACATATCTTTCTCACCTCGTCAGGTTATATTTTTGTATATTTCAATCAAGAATTAAACACTTATATTCAAGCCTTTTAAGGCTAGGCAACATTCTGATGGTGTGGACATGCTGTAGAGCACTTGTGTAGCAAGTTTAAAGCATTGAGTTCAACCGTTAGCACAAACAAATCAAAACACAACCAAAACTCAAATCAGGAAGTAACAAATTAGATGTCTTTCCTGAGTCCTGGATAGAAGGTAGTATTGCTGTTCCAGAAGTCTTGATGAAGAACTGTTGTTGTCAACTCACCCTGTATTACAAGTATAAGAAATACTGGATCCAAACTGAATGTCTGTGATTATTACTACGCCATTCTGAGGATCTTTAGGATTTGCACATGATTTACCTGTGAGAAAGAAACAATTTTTGAACAAAGTAAAGTAAACTGAACTTTTCTTAGTTTATGAAGTTCTAACCTGACTGTAACTTACTGTATACAGAGCATACAAAATTGTAACATTTCACAGATTTTTGCTACTTTGAGGAAACTCACCAGACACTTCTTTCCAAAAGAACTCCCCATCCAAGTTCTTTCTTATTTTCACATGGTGACATCCAAAAACATAAATACTTCATTTATTACCAAGGCATTCTTTTATGTGTTCCAATTCACAGGCCTCAAAGTCTGGGATTTTTTTCATCTCTTAGTTATTAAATATACATTTATTTGCTTTGGAATCACTAATTACTTAGTGAAACTTGTGTGAAGTTGGATATACTAAGTGAAATATCCTGAGGGTATTTTTCATCAATCATGCTCTGTGATGGTCATTATTATTAAATTTATCAACAATTGAGAAGACAGAAGCACAGAGTAAAGATATGACTTACAAGATGAGTCAATGTACTATATATGCCTTAGATAATATTATTAATGACATGTGTCATAATTTTAAAATCGAGACAAACTTGAAACAGACTCTATTTGCCACAAAGTATCTATTTTCTGTCATCTTCCTCTGCAGATACTCACGTATACACTTATTTTCAGCACTTGTCCAGTCTAAGTTTTCTTCACATACGATGGAGAACTGCCTCTTGATATATCCTGGGCGACATTCATACATCAAAGATGTTCCAATGGGAAACTCAGATTCATCAGTTTGAGTTATACGGTTGGCAAATGGAAACCATGATGGGGCTTTGCACTGGCCTGGAGAATGAGACCACAGCAACATTACACTTACAGGAGGAACTTTTATTCACCTTTTCTTTCTCTTCATTATATTTTATAGATGTGATCAAAGAAGAAAAAGAATACTCTAATAGGGGTAAAGGGAATGATTCTTTTAATATTCTTTTTAAAGATTTATGTATTTATTATGTAAACAGTGTTCTGTCCACATGCATGCCTGCAGGCCAAAAGAGGGCACCAGATCGCATTATAGACGGTTGTGCACCACTGTGTGGTTACTGGGAATTGACCGCAGGACCTTTGGAAGAATAGGCAGTGTCCTTAACCTCTAAGCTATCTCTCCAGTACCTTTAATGGGCATTTTTACAGTTAAGTTTTTAAAATAATTTTAGTTAGCATCTATAAGTGAGCCTCTGCTTTAAAAATGCCTCTGCTTTAATAATTTTTTTAAGATTTATTGATTTTATTCTGTGACTCTTGTGCTTAAATGCATATATGTGCACCCCATGCATGCAGTGCCTTTGCAAATCAGAAGACAATGTTGGATCCTCTGGAATTGGAGTTATGGATACCTCTGCTCTTTTTTTCTCTTTTTTAAAAAGCAATGTGTATGTAGCTTAATTCACATATAACATATTAACATAATGTAGGTAGGATAAACAGTCTTTAGCTGAAGGGAAACTCCCAACATAGTTTCAAATTTCAACCAGAGAGTACCTGTGCTTAGATTTCATCCATCCCGTCCTCACATTTCCTTCTCTCCTGTACCAAAACAGACTCATGCCTTGCATCCTTCCTCTCAGTCTCAGTCAACCAGCCAGCTCTCCTGGCCCATGATCTTCCTCTCTGGCATTCAGGAATGGATCAGCACTTTGGCCAAGCAAGGGGAGTGGGGGGGGGGATAATAAAATTCAAAAACTGTAACTGTGTTTCATTTTGTGAATGTATTTTCCAATACATGTTTTTATTTAACTTCTAGGCTCGGTTATCTTTCCTTAAGGCTTAGCAGAATTAAATTAACTGACAGTTAGGGTCAAATAACAAGTAATCAATAATTATATGTTGGAAAAAAATCATTTTAACTTTGGAAATATTACATTTTTGCTATGACTTCATTTCCTAGCAAAACTCTCAATTAATTCAAATTTTAATGGGGTAGATTAAGGCAAACAAAAAACTTTTAACAATGTATTTCTAGTTAGTTTTTAAACTGACTGCATCTTGTTTTGCATATGTGGAACTTTGGTAACTCCAAAAAAGCTCACGTTCCTAATTTTCCTCCAATATTAGACTGGCTGTGGCTCTCCCCACACTCCACTGAACTATGGTGTCCTGTTCTGTGTTTTCACATGTATGTTTCATCACGTTCAACCTGACTTCCTACCAGACTACTACTTTCACATCCGTTTCCTCCAGACATGCATTCATCTTCTATCTATGAAACATTCTATGTGGAATATTTCATTTCTCTCTAGCTTCCGATCTTCTACCAGGTCTCAGCTAACATACCACTTTCCAGACGTGAGAAATATCAAACTTAAACTACCTGTACTTACTTTACCCATTATCTTTTCCCCTATTATATCAATAATATTTTATTATTATAATTTTTATTTTTAATATGTATACATTTGATAGGATTTCTTTCAATAGCTATCAGAGATAGACAATGTGAAGGTAAGAGACCAAATAACCTTTGTTCCTATAGATAAATACCAGGCCCAGAGCTTAGCACCCAATTATAAGCAGTAGATGTATTTTGTTGCCATAAACAAATAAATAATATAATGTAAAATAAGTACCATCAAGAATCCACACAGGCTACGTCCCAAGAAGCCCTCATTTGCAGAGTTTTGATTAGAGTTCATATATTTCTAAGTTTCAAAGTTATTACCACTTTGAAAATACTGTATAACAGCAAAAACAAAACAAAACAAAAAACCTACTAAGTGAAAAATACAATTCCTGTGAAAACCACTTTGATAAACATGGAGAAAAGAGAAAGAACAGCAACAAAACCATTGAGTGAAAGTTTCTGTGATTTCAAATATCATGTCTTCACCTTTTCTCTAGCTGACCAGTAGGATGAATACAATGTTGATAACTGTCTCCCCAATTAGTCCCAACAAGGGAATCAATCCCAAGTGCAGCATCCAGTTAAAAGAAATTTTCATACAAATATCAGTCTTTGTTTTCTCTTTGGTCTAGTTTTTCAAAGTAATTACTTTGAGATTTACCCAGGGTATATGTATTTCATTGCTGAGAAATATTCAGTTAGATAAATAAATATGCCATAATTTAACTGAAGGACATTTTTGGTTGTTTCTACTTATTGGCTATTACCAATAGTGCAGGATGATGGAGGTGGAGAGAAGTTTCAGCAGTTAAGAGCTCTTTCTCATCTTCCAGAAGACCCAGGTTTAATTTCCAGCACCCACAAGGCAGCTCACAACCTTATGTGACTCCAGTCTAAGGAAACCTGATGCCCTCTTCTGGCCTCTGTAGGTACTATATGCATATTGTGCACTGACATACATGCAAACAAATACTAATTCACACTAACAAAGATAAAATAAAAATAAATAAAACCTAAAAACAACAAAACAAAACACCACCCAGCTACAAAAACTAATGTAGCTGTTTCTGTTGGACACAAATTTTTATTTCTCTTATGTAAAAACCTGGGAGTAAAATGCCTAGGTACATGATAGAAATTTTTTTGAGACACTGCTGAGTCATCTTCCAACAGTAGTCCCTTATCTCTCAGTAAACAGCACAAGACAACTTTCATGACTTCTTGCTAAAATATACAGTATAGTGACTCTGCACACTTTTAGCTGTTCGCATGCCTGTGCATTGTTATCTTACTATGCTTTTTTTGTCCTGGAAGATGTAACCGACTTTCAAATGTTCCATTTAAGTCACTGATTGATTCATCCTGAGCCATCACAACTGTGAACTCATGACCACTTCCATGACTGCTGAAATATGAGCTGTCAACCTGAGCTACACTCTATACTCTGCTCCTAGTCTACATGCTTTACCCTTTAGTGGAGAGATTCTTTAGTGGAAAAGATTGCTTAAGCAACTTTATTAGCTAAAATAGAGAGCACAAAATTTAAAAAATAAATTTATAAAAATGGTCTGCATAAATATTTAAAGGAATGCTATACAAATGAAATAAGATCTTATTATTTTACTATTTTTTATTCTTGCTATTATTTTTATTTTATTATTATTTTCAAGAGGTTTCTCTGTGTAGTCCTGGCTGTGCTGAAACACACTCTGTAGTCCAGGCTGGCCTCAAACTCAGAGATATATCCACTTACCTCAGCCTTTGAATGCTGAGAATAAAGATGTGTGCCACCGTTGCCTGGCTTGGAATAAGCATTTTAAATACTTTACTAGAGACAGTGATCTAATATCATTAGTTAACACTTAAGTGACAAAATATTACCACAGATTTTGTTAATAGGAGTGTATATACGGCTGTATTTCAACTAGATTTGATACTTTCTAGATTCTTGATGCTTTCTAGATTTTTGTTGTTGCTATTTGTTTTTATATGATCAGCACTTCTTCCCCTGAGTGCCTTTCACATACAACTTATACATGTGTGTATCCTCAGGCAATAAAGGGGTAGTCAGTGCAGCCACCTTGTTTTCTGGAATTACTCTTACTATAATCCTCTTTAGTGAGTATTTCTCAGTGCAGGACATGTAAGAAGGTTATTTTGTCTATCATTAGATAATATAAACTATAAATCACACATCTGAGAATATGGAAACTGAAAGCATTATGAAGCACAGGAAACAAACTCTAACTCCCCTTCTTTGGCTTCTTCACGTAGCAGTTAACAGAAATGATCCTATAAGAGTATCTTAGGGCATGCCAGAGTCCACCAACTCCAACAGTATTCTAGTAATACTTAACTACTGTACCACTTTATGGCCCTGATTGTGGTTTATTTTAGTGAATGGTCTGTATAAGGTGGTATAGTCTACTGTTGTGCGTTGCTGAGTTCTGCTATGTCCTTACTGTTTTTCTGCCTGCTACATCTGTCAAGTTCTGGTAGAGGGTTACTGAAGCTTCCAACTCTAAGAGTAGATTCATTTATTGCTGTTTACAGGTCTGCCCATTTTTGCTTCATATATTTATTTGATAATGCTGTCAGAGGCACACATGTGGACATTTGTTAACTGACTTGCTGGATCCAAGGTCCTCAGCTGTAAGTAGCAGAGACTGGAAACCCAGAACCAATTTCTCTATGAGTTGAGGTGAAGCTCTCCACCACATTTTTTTTTTTAAATCACAAAGTGCTGTGGCCAATGGAAGCATTCTAGTAGTAGTCTCTTCATTTCAACTCTCTAAAGTACTCCATAGCCTGAGTCACATTTGAAGGATACTGTGATAACCTTGATAAATTTTCTTTGCACTTAATGCCTGAGGTTGTAACAATATCTTAATAACTATGGCAAAACTGTAGCACCATTTCAGCCAGATGATGACAAAGCCACAAAGATCACTAAGCACCGATAGAAGATTCCCAACATTCTTGGTATACTTCGTTTCTAAAAATTTAAATTTTATCATATATTGTCACCTGACCAGTTACTATGTGTACCTAGGGAGATAAATATTTAAACACAATTTTTTGCAGAAATTTTGTTTTTATTTTTTCTGCTCTCAGGAAAAAAGGTTCAATTAATATATGTAGTCGGTCTAGAGAAAAAGCTTAAACCCCGAGTTGAACAAAAACACTTAAGACTGTCATTTCAACTGTCAATGAGTCTAAACAATGCAAAAAGTCTTCAAGGAAGTCTTTCTCTGAGAAAATTCTTATTGAAGACGTAGAAAGGGTACTTAGAATTTCCATAGTGGGTAAAAAGGGCACTCTATTTTGCCCTTAACCATCACTAAAGTGTAATATGCAAATTCTATAGTCCCTTTTACTTGCAACTTGGGTCTTCCTGTTCTTCAAACCCTAACCTAGGGTGGAAGTGGGAGGATCTTCCTTAAAGTAGGAACTCAACTGAGTCGAAGAGGATTTGGGGCGAGAGATAATCAGTCCCTAGACCTGTTTGCTAGGCCTTCAGAGAAATGCATAAATAAGGGCTCCAGGACAGAAGCAAATTAAGCAGCAGAACATGGGTTAGACACTAGACAACACCAATTAAATGCAACATCACGAAATACCTCAATATCTCAGATTCACAGATGAGGAAACACACAGGCAAATTAACTTTCCTCACAACTAAATTCTAGGATTAGAAATTGAGTCTCCCAGACTTTCATGACTTCCCCAACCTCCACACCGCCTCCTTTCACTACAACTGGCTCTACACTCAGTACAGACAAGCCGGTGGGAGACCTACCGACTGCGCACTATCTGGGCTGAGAGCGCCACACTCACACCAGCGCTGGGGTCTGTGCTGCGCCCATTTACCGCGGGTGCCGGTGCACCGCGCGTCGGTGCCTCCCCGCACCTCCCTGCGGCTCACCCAAAACTGAAGGCGGAAGGAACAGCAGCAGGATGGCCAGCTGGGCTCCGCCGCGGCAGAAAGCTACAAGGCGTCCCACGGGGCCCGGACGCTCTGAGCTCCGAGAAGCCTTCATTTTCCTCAACACCGGTGTCAAGCCCAGTAGAATGGCAGAGAAGGCAACCACGCCCAGGGTGCGGGAAATGACGCTGAGTTCCGGAAAAAAAAAAAAAAAAAAAAAACCTATTCAACACCGCTTCCCGTTGTTGGGCGGGGTCTTGTTTATTCTCTTTCGTGGGCCTTCTATGGAACTATGGAATACCTCCTGGGAGATCGCTTCTGGGACGGAGACACATGATCAAAACGTAGCAAGACAGTTCCAGGATGTTTTCTAATTTTAAGTACTTTCAGTTCCAAAGAAAGCAAGGCACTATGGGAACTCTGCATATAACCAGCCTTACTCCCCCACCCCAGGAAATCCGCAAGGGTGGAGCCTAACGCTAACCTGCGACTGTTTTTTAAATGGAGAGCCCCCAGTCTCAGGTCCTGTGGGATGAATTCAGATGTAAGTGCCACGGAAACAAAAATTAAAGCAATGAGTCAATCAGACAAAAATTTTATAAATATGTCAACGCTACAGCTCTCATCTTAAAAGGAATAAGAGTTTATGCGTGACCATAACCCTGGAACAATGATTTAGGTTACTCCAAATTCCATGTCCCAACGTGGAAGCAATTCCACAAAGGTTTTAGGGGTTTACAGAGCAGTGAAAGTCTTAAATCAAGTTTAAAATACATTAGTGGGTACATCAGAGAAGCAGATATATTAATGTGGGGTAAGATTTTCTGTTGGTTCAAGTTGCTATCTGATGGCACTCTTAGCTTTTGCATTGGTAGAATTAGTTTTCTGCTAAATTAATAGATTCTAAAAGATTATTGTTTGCCTGCTTGCTTTGTAATTTTTGTTCGTCTGTTTTGTTTAATCTGATGTTTCAAGATATTAGTTCTGACGCAGGAGGCAAGGAATGGCTGTTTCAGAGGCCCGGATCAGAGGCCCGGAACAAAATAAGGTAATTAGCCTGTGGCCCTGCAATATTGCAATCTCTCCATAGTTCTGAAATTCTAATCAGCCAGTCTCTGCGGACACAGATACCTTTCAGGAGTTTGCTTTCACAGGCAGATGCAGTTTCTTTTCAGAAGTTTTTGCTCACAAATATAACATCAATGTTATTCAGCCTAGATTAGGTCAGTGCAGTAATGAATGGGGGGGGGGGGGACCAGCTAGGGGATCTTGTCATCAATCCAAGTGAGATCCGATGACAAGTGAACAATTAATAAGATCCCAGAAATGGAATAAATGGGATTTGCACTGGGTTTAGTTCCTTTCTTAATGATGATGAAGAGGAAAAGATAGATAGAAATAAAGAAAAAGAAAGAAAGAAAGAAGGAAGGAAGGAGGAAGGAAGGAAGAAAGGGAGAAAGAAAGAATCAAGAAATAGCCCCCTACTTAGAGATGGATGGTAGTGCTTATTGAAATAACAAATATAGAGGGCCAAGTTTAGGGAACAGAATTAAGAATTCAAAGATTCCAAGAGAGAAATAGACCATGTGAACAAAAACATCCACATTCTGTTTGCAGAACCTGTGAGGCTTTATTTGGTAGGAAAGACATTGCTGGTTAAACTAAATCAGAATGTTGAAATGGGGAGGTAACTCTGACTTCATAATCCCAAGGATCCTTTTAAGAAGATGATACTAGATCGGAGAGGAAGAAAGTGAAAACAGAGACCAGAGTTGCTACCTCCAGAGAGCAAATGCCAGCAGCCTTAATAAGGTAGAAGAAATAAACAGATTCTCCTCTGGGGCTTTCAGATGGAACCAGTCCTGGCAGCGCTTTGAGTTTCGTACTGTAGGAGTCATTTAAAAATTGAGTTATTCTCAAAAGAATATGGAAGAAGTTATATTACAGTTAAGTGGATTGAGTTCTTCAACTTTCTTACGCCGAACGCTATCAGAGTATACCATTCCCACATGGGTGTGGGCTTACTTCTTAGCACCCACCCTCTTCCTTCAGTCCTTGATGGGTTTAGCTCCTGGCTGATATTCACTTCCACCAATGTTCCTCTTAGCACTCAAGGACTTAAAAGGTCATAGATTTTTTTTTACATACTTGGCCTCATAATTTCTTTTTTGTCTATGATCTTATCCTCCACTCTACTATGCCACCAATGCCCATATAGTATCTTGGAAGTGTCACTAGAACTGTATCCTCTTCATAAGCTCAACTATCCCCTTTAACCACAAATCACACCTTTCTAGTTCACCTCCAGTGTCTTGACTCTCACACTCTCTATCTTACAATGTCTACAAGTCCATAGACCTGCCACAACTGGTCTCTTGCTAGGTTAGATTTGTGCTCCATCGTAATAGTCACCATTTTGCATACCACTTTCACTGACAGTATTTTTTGGACAAAACAACATAAAATTCAATACTCTATTATGTTGCCTTCATTACTATAAAACTGAATGTTACTACAGGAAAATGAAGAATTGATGGTGACTAGTCTTACTATAATGACATCTCATTTCATTTAAATCTTTGTGTTAGGGTAACAATAAAAGTCCATTAAAGGATAACTTCTTTGTGTCAAGAAAAAAATACCTGGCCTGAATAGATACCTAATAGTCCACTTGGGCAAAATCAACCACTGGGCCAGAAGACCACCTCTAGGAACATAGGCTCATCTTAAGCCATGCTAAAGAGTTAGGTGGAATAATTATCACTTTAATGAGATATCGTGCCTTTCTTCCCAAAATTTCCACCCCCTACTGTAGTCTTTTGCAGAATATAGTTATGTTGCTTTGTAAGTCACTGAATTCTGACACACAGAAAAGGATAACTGATGTGGGAGTCCCCTCTGTGTGCTGTGATTACTATTAATGAATAAAGAAACTGCCTTGGCCTGTTGATAGGGCAGAACTTAGGCAGGCGGGGAGAACTGGGCTGAATTCTGGGAGAAAGAAGGGCAGAGTCAGAGAGATGCCATGGATCTGCAGCCAGAGATAAACGTGCTGAAGCTTTGCTGGTAGGTCACGACCTCGTGGTGATATACAGATTAATAGAAATGGATTAAATTAAGATGCCAGAGTTGGCCAATAAGAAGCTAGAGCTAATGGGCCAAGCAGTGATTTAATTAACAGTTTCTGTGTGGTTATTTTGGTTCTGGGTGACCGGGACCAACAAGTGGCCTCCCCGCAACAGAACATGAGACATGATTGCTCCTGACAGTACCAATCAACATAAGAAGGTTGAGCACTGAAGACACTCCACTCAGAGTTTGTTTTCTTCTTGGCACTATTGGCCTTTGGGCAAGGAACTACCCATACTTCAACCGCTGACAAACTACATGGTATCCAAAAATGGATAAGCAAGACACAAGGAAAAAGACTGTCAAATCTTACCAAGACAGGGTAAGACGGTTATAAAAAATTTTTTTGTCTCTGTTACTCTAGGCCTTAGCCAAAGTTGGTTGCTTCAACGTTGCAGATGAGAGACTTTAGGTGACTGTTTAGGTAGCTAATTGTCTTTGTCATAGATTGCTCGCTTTGGAAGCTGCTTGATTGTACTTCCTGCCTGCTCAAGTAATATTATCTCCCTTCTCAGGCCTTTGATGGGATTGGAGATTAGATAGTCATAGTTACCACCCTCTTATAATCTAGCCAAGCCATTTGCTATACAAGACTTAGACTCCATAGGATAGAATGCTTATTAAAACATTTAGCATATGTTTTTGCTTAATACTGTTTATGCTGGTTGTAATTCTAATTATACTTCATAGATGTTCCAAGTGTATATAGTTTTGTATTGGGTTTGGAAGCCTCTTATTTAAACAAAAGGGGGAGGTATTGTGGGAGCACATTCCATTCCTTCAGCCAATAGCCTTTAAACCAGCCCACTTGGGCATGGGCTCTGATACTCTAAAAGCAGTTGTAAAGCATGTACCCACTGTCTTGTTTCTGGCTCCTGCTTCCGGCTGCTAGACTCTGTTCCTGTTCATGTAGATGACTATTATCTAAGAGAGTGATTTGTAAGTTTTCCCCTTAAATAAATAACCCTTTTATTATTCATAATTCTGAACTGGTATGGGATTATTTTATGACTTCATCATCAAATAACTTCATCTTTCTTCTCCTTTTTTCTTTTCTTTCTTTTATTTCCTCATCTTTCCATTTTTATTTGTTTACTATTATGTGTATGGGTGGGTTTTTTTTTTTTTGCCTGTATGCATGTTTGTCTGTGCACCACTTGTCTGCTGTGCCCACAGGGGCCAGAAGAAAGATTCAGATCTCCTGCCATTGAAGTTACAGACAGTTGTTAGCATAAGGTGGGTGTTGGGAAGTGAAACATAATCCTCTGGTGCTGAAAGATCCAACTCTTGGCTGAAGAAACTGGAGAGGAGGTGTGGAGTCACTGAGGGCTAGACACACACACACACACACACACACACACACACACACACACACAGAGGTACATTACCTGAGGTGCAAAGCTTAATTCCTTATTTTATTCTGCTGCTTGTTACATACATTATTTTTTTCTTATTCCTTTTATACCATACAAGACAGCCTCTATATAAAAAGGAAATTACCTTACAACCACAAGTTGTGTATTTTGCAAAAGCAAATTAAAATCTTTATGCAGGAAGAAATCATATTATGATCACAAGTTACATGTTTTTCTTAGAAGCCCTCAAGTACTTAAATACTTTCCTTTGTATTAATTTCCCCACCATAACATCTTCACCTCAAAGCAATGACTCCTTTATTATTGACTAACATTTTTTTTTTATTTTTGAGTTTTTGAGGCAGAGTTTCTCTGTGTAACAATCATGGATGTCTGGGCATTTTTCTGTAAATCAGGCTGGCTTTGAACTCACATAGATCCACAGGCTTTTGCCTTCTGAGTGCTGTGATTAAATACTTGCACTGCCATAATTAACAAACTTTTAAGCAAGCAAAGTATATTTCAGCCATTTCCTTTTGAACTGACAGGCAGTTGTTTGCAGTTTCAGTGTAGCAGATTCCTATCTTATTTCTACTCTACAAAAAGTTTAGACATGTGGTCAGCTAGTCATCTATTTTGCTTTACACACAATAAGGTCGTTTAATTTCCTTTCACAATTTTGTTTTTTCAAGGTGCATACCAAAGCCTGTGATTAATTATGTAAGCTACTTGACCAAGGAACTCTGCTAACCTTGGGTGCAGGGACATAATTGTTTTCTTTGATCAAAAGCCTGTTTTTTACAGGCAGAATCCATGGGTCCATAATACATAAACCTTCTTGCTTTTATTTTCTATCCACTGTAGGTCTCACATCTAATAGAGGGGAAGGTGACTGCTAGCCTTTTGTATCTATTATTGGAGCAAGTGGCAGAATAACCTAAACCATTTCCCTAAACA